CCTAAAATGAATGATAGCCTTTAGTTCTTCCACCCCTCTCTCAGCCGCTAAGAATATCCTGAAGTTTCTTTCTTCCCATATTGTCCAACATATTGCAGCCCTCAAACCTCTCCACATAGTCCTTCCCCTTTTCCTACGCCACCTGAAGACAGAAGGGGAAAAAAGGCCTTGCAGATCTGATGGAGGATTCCATCTACACCCACAGAGGGAAAAAGCCCATTCCCAAATTGACCTTGCAAAATGGCAAGACACCAGTAGGTGAAAACCAGTCTCCCAATCCACTTTACATAAAACACACCAATGGGGTGACAAGCAAGTATTGGGTCGCTTCTTTTGGAATAGATCACCAGTGTTGAATCTTTCCATATAGGCTTCCCAACAAAAACTACCAACCCTAGGAGGGATTGCTCTGCACCAAACCTCATCAACAGGGAAAGGGGGAGTTACAAGATTGGTGGACTGGCTTAGGACTTTGAAAAAGGAAGCACAAGAAAAGAAGCCAGTGGGGGTAGGGGTCCAAATTCTAGAGTCCGCCCTTGTGGAGTTTAAGACAACATTATCAAGAAGTTCAAGAAGGCTCGAAATATTAGCAAATTTTGAATCCCTCAAGGCCCTTCTAAGACCCAAATTCCACCCAAGCCCAGAATTTGAAGAGGATGGGGTAATGAAGGATGAAACTGGCTCATTTTTAAGATCAGATAGAGCATACAAAGAAGGAAACTAATCCTTTAGAGGGGCATTCCCCACCCAAGTTTGTTCCCAGAATTTTATGGAGTTATCGGAATTCAGATCATACCTGATATTGGGAGAGAATACTGGAAGCTGATCGTGAATGGCTTTCTAAGGAGAAAAGATTGTGGTCCTAGCTTTGATTCTAGCATCCCAACCATTGTGCTCCAGCCCATGTATACTTGCCACTATTCTAGCCCATAACTTCTCCCTCTCCAAGGGGAACCTCCACAACCACTTCCCTAGAAGAGCCATATTCCTTCTTCTAACATTCTCGAGCCCCAAACCACTACAAATTTTACTCCTGGACACTACCTCCCAGCTGACTCTATGATCCCTCTTCTCCTCTCCCGGCTCCTACAAGAAGTCTCTCATCAACTTCTCCAACCCATTAGATACCTTCACTGGGATTTTGAACACAGACAGGAAGTAGATGGGTAAATTAGCAAGCATGGCCTTAATCAGTGTAACTCTTCCACCAAGAGAGAGGTAATTCTTTTTCCAAGAAACCAATCTTTTTTCAAACCTTTCCACCACCGTGTTCCAAAAGCTCTCCCTCATAGGGTTGTCACCTAATGGTAACCCTAAGTAATTCAATGGCCACCCTGACACTTCACACCCCAACACTTCTGCACTCTCCCTGATCTCTCCATCCTCCATATTCACCCCTGCTACACAACTTTTCCCAAAGTTCACCTTCAAGTTAGACATTTGCTCAAAGAGTTGTATCACCAACTTCAAGTTCCTGATAAAGCTCACATTGCCACCTTTACAGAATAGAATCGTGTCATCAGCAAATTGTAAGTGAGTGAGGGGGATTTTCGTCCTCCCGACTCTCCAACCTCTAATGAGACCCCTCGAGTCTGCTCTGTGAATCAATTTCCCCAAGATCTCAGCAATTAGTATGAACAAAAAAGTAGAGAGAGGGTCTCCTTGTCTTATACCCCTATTGGCTGGAAAGAACTCTACCATTGTCCCATTCACTAGCACTGAATAATGACAATTCCGAACACAGCCCATGATCCAATTGCACCATCTACCACTAAACCCAAATTTGATCAAAACTTTCCTCAAGAATTCCCAGTCCACCAAGTCATAAGCCTTTTCCAAGTCCAACTTACAGACCACTCCCTTCTTTTTAGCCTTCTTAAAGTTCTCCACACTCTCATTAGCAATTAAGATTTGATCAGTGATTTGTCTTCCACTCACAAAAGCTCCTTGATTTTGTGCGATGATGTCTAGCAAAACCTCCTTCAACCTCAATGACAACACCGTAGCAATGATCTTGTACAGGCTATTAACCAAGCTAATTGGCCAAAAGTCCTTCGGGTGGGAGGCATCCTTCTTTTTTGGAATCAGAGCTATAAATGTAGAGTTCACACCCAGATTGATAATTCTCTCCTGAAAAACTCCTCAAACACCAGCAAAAGATCATCTTTCAAAATATCCCAATAGTCCTAATAAAAAGCCATTGTGAACCCATCCGGCCTTGGAGCTTTTGTTCTATCCATAGAAAACACAGCCTCCTTAATCTCTTCCATATCAAATCTTCTATCCAACCTTCTCCTGTTCTCCACCCCTACATCTGGTCAATCCAAACCTTATACCCACACCCTTCTATTTACCGGCCTTCTTAGAATGGATTTAAAGTGCTCCACACAAGCCCCAGCTATCTCCTCTTGTTGTGATAACTCAACTCCACCTACTACCAATTTGGAGATAAAGTTCCTCCTTCTCCTTCCATCCGCCAAAGAGTGA